TGCTGGTCTAATTTTCTTTTTACCGGGAAAATAGGTGTCTGCACTGGGGAGTCCTCACATGGGACAATAATGCCAGCCTCAAGAAATGATTCAAAAACAGGTGTAATTCCTTCTATGGCCTCCTGTCTCAAAGGATACTGACGCTGGCCTCGGTCTATAATCAGATTTAGCTTCAATACGAACAGGTGGACAGTTTTTGATCAAACCAACATCATGTTTACTTTTTGCCCACAGACTGTCCGGTACTTGTGACAACAAAGATGAAATCTCAAGCGGAGAAGTCAAACAAGTCAGAGTCAAATTTGGTCCGTCATTGTTATCATATGAAGACGTCAAAAGCACTGAATTTAGCACATCAACTGTCTTCGTATGAGACATTTTATACGCGCAAACGGATTGTGAATAAAACACATTTTCTCCACGTTCACACGCCTCCCAGTCCTCTGCCAAAGTACATCTGCGTACAAAAAGGCCTAAGGTTTGCCATGTGTCAGTCTTTGCTTTTGCTATTGAAATATGAGGACTTGAATTTTCAAGACGATAGCATTGTTTTTGTGACTGGCTTAACTCTACTGAAACAGCACACTTGGAATCATCAAAGTACACGTCAGCAATAATCAAGCAGTCATTTGAGCCCATTTTAAACGTTTCTTCAAATTCACAATCAGGGCTATGGTGTAAATGACACACACAATGCAAGTCCTCAGCTTTCAATATATCAGATTTTGGATTAAGAAATGGAGAAACCACCCCCATTAAATGACTCGCGCTGGCAGTATGAAACCACCACTGATATACAGACATAAGACAATTTGTGTTTACTTTGACAAAATTAGTTGCGCACGCACCTCTGTCTATTTTAAGGCCTTCTGCTGTCGATGTGATCACAACTTCCCATTTTATCATTAAATCACGGCCTAACAAGTTTACAGGACAAAGGTCAGACATCAAAAATGAATGTTTTGCTGTTGCTGGGTTACGCTCGTTTGCCCAAGTGCATTTGATCGGAACAGAAAAAGATTCCGGTACCGTTTGTCCACTCGCACTTGTGGAAAAAACACTTCTGCCACTTAATTTGATTGAGAGCTCCTTTGTCTGAATCACACTGTGGGTTGCACCAGAGTCTACTAAAAAAGTGATCGGTTTACCCTCAATTTCACAAACAATAGTTGGCATTTTTCTGTAAGCTTCATTTTCATAAGCTAAGTAGGTCCCTGTGTTGGGCCTGTCACCGCTCTCTAACTCCCTAATTCTATCCTCAATTAAGCCAAGCAGTGAATCAGTGGCAAGCGCGTCTTCATTGCAGTTAGCAGTTAGTGTGTTGTGTGTAAGAGTGTGTGCATTACTCATCTGTACAGGTGCTGTGTCAGATCCCACGTCAACCAGACATCAATCTGAAGAAAATCTCTGCTGGTCCTCCGGTCTCGCACCCCGTCCACGTCCACTCCACCGTCCCGCATCTCGGCGTGGCTGGGGACAGTCACGATTCCAATGTCCAATTTCACCACAGTTGAAACATTTGTCCTGGTCGTCATGGACACGATCGTTCCCGAAATGTCCGTGGTCACGATTGTTCTCGAAATGTCCGTGGTCACGATTGTTCTCGAAATGTCCGTGGCCACCTCTTCTCCGTCCTCTACCTCCACGACCTCCACGACGGAATTGTCTGCCCGTCATTTTGATCAATGTGAGATTGGCCTGATGCTGGGCCGTCTCCTGCGCGCCAGTTTTTACAGCGTTCTCCTCAGTGTTCTTCATTTCAGCATGCTTTGCGTGTCTGAGGATTTCCGGGATGCGATTATCCTGCCAACCTCCCACCAAAGTCTGTTTTAGTGCGGCTTGGATCGGTTGGGGAAGGCCCTCGCAGAACGCCATCTTAAAGATCACCTCGAATGTGGTCTCAGCTGCGGCAGTGTAATTGTCTGGCTTTTGACTACCAGAGTGGGCAACGCACACATCCTCAAGACGATGATAAAAGTCCACAACTGACTCACTTGTCTTTTGAGAGCAGTCTTTAATCTTTCCCATATCAAATTTCACTGGGAACGCACGCTTGAGAGCTGTCACTATGTTGGCCACATATGTCTCCCATGCATTCGCCTCTGTCCATTCCGCCTGCAGAGCTCGCAAAGTCTCATAATTCTGTCGATGGACCGCGGGCTCTATCTTGGCGAAGCCCTCCGGTTTTAAATACAGGAGGAGAAGCTTTTTAACTTCAGCGCCCGTAGGACGCCATGCTTTGCAAAAGGCCAGAAATGCGTCTGCCATCGAATCACCCCCGCGGTGGGGAGAAGGCCAGTCTTTGACAGAGTCTTTCATCTCCTGATCCATTTGACGCAGAACCAGAACGGGGGTTCCCTCGGGGCCAGGGTATTCTATCATAGGTGCTTGTAAAGTCTTTCCATCTCTCAGCGTCATGCCATTGTCATTTAGAGTGATTTTGCCCAGACCATGTGTCACAGAGTGGGTTGGAGAGATTGGAGAAGGAGCAGTTTCTCTGTGTCCTGCTCCAGACAGGAGGGGAGGGGCTGATGCAGAAGCCTCTGGGGCAGGCAAGAGGAGCACCGGAGGGAGGGCAGCTGACGCTGCTGCTTCTGCTGGTGCTGCAGGTGCCGCTGCTGCAGGTGCCGCTGCTGCTTGATACCGGGGGGTGAGAGAGCGGAGTACAGCGGGGTCCAATCATCTGTGGAGTTCCTACGGTCGTATTGACGTGGGATCGGTGGTATGCTCGAAAAAAAAGCAGATGGAGAAGTATCAGTCGCAGATCCTATACATTGTTTCTGTCTACTTTCCCTAAGCTTTGCCTCAGTCATCCACGCATTCAGCCACCGTCTGTTCTCATCCAGATAATTCAAATCTTTCACACGTACAGACCTGCCTTTTTTTAACACAGTTTCTCGAGCATCCAATTGCGATTTAATCTTTTCCAATTGGTTCAAGCTGAAGGAGCCATTTTTGGGAAAACCTAATTCAGCCACCCACATTTCAGTGCATGCCCTAAAATCATCACCATGTTTTTTACTCATAAAAGTCATGCTGGTGACTCTGCCTTTTCTTCTAAGCCACATGGCTGGAATCTGAGACTTCAAACTCAGATCTAGTATCAACTGAGGACTCGAACCCCAGACTAAGACTAAACTTAGATTTTTTTGACAGGACTCGAACCTGTTTTCACAACGAGAGGACTCGAACCCCCCGACTAAGACTAAACTTAGATTTTTTTGACAGGACTCGAACCTGTTTTCACAACGAGAGGACTCGAACCCCCCGACTAAGACTAAACTTAGATTTAGACCGGACTCTAACCGTCTTCACAACGAAGGACTCTAACCTCCGACTAAGAATAAACTTAGATTTTCTGACAGGACTCCAACCTGTTTTCACAACGGAGGACTCTAACCTCCGACTAAGACTCGAACTTAGATTTATTCCCAACAGCCTGGATTAGAATGAGCAGCACCGTCACCAGCTGGCAGCCAAACATGCACGCACACTGCACCCACAAGTGCCTCTCGGATTCACCACTGAAGCATAGAAAGTCAAATATTAAACACGTTACCGTTTGTTTTCGTGTGAAAATCCCGAGAGGCGACGGTTGAAACTCAGCACGTCCGGTCAGTCCGCCCGTCCAGAGATATGGGAAAGCGACGAGATTGGTTTTGAATCCCGGGCGATCAGTCCCCCGAATCCGGACCCCTGCGTTTCAACGGTCAAGCCTTCGAGACCACTTCTGACACCAAATTGTTATGGAAATTCTATTGCCTCAAATGAATGAAACCGAGAGGAAACAAACTTGTCCTTTGGTGCAGTTTTATTCACAGAAGTGATGAGTACAAAAATGACATTTTCTGCGCAGAAAAGAGTCAAACAGAAGCGGGACCTGGAGCGATGCCGCGTCTGTCTGTCCCCCCAACAAACATGTCTATGATCTTATACTGGAGGTGTGTCAGACAGAACAATGAGCATTCGTCACAAGAGAGATGAGTCATACGCAGCTGCAGACGGGAAAGTTTGGGAGATACATTAAGCGCACTGAAAGGACCTTCGAATTTGATAAGAAGGAACACGCTGTGAGTACATTTGAGATAGGCCCATGCAGATGGTGACCAAGGCTATCGCTGAACAAGAGGCCCTTTGTGCTAATGTTTCAAACAGTGATGGGGAGCGGGTTTCAGACGCATGGGAAAGAAGACGCATGTATCGACCTAAATGATTAGAATATCTTGTGCCGGGAATCTGGCCATAAAAGGAAATTGTACATTGGTCCCTTGCTCGCAATCATACAAACATACAAACATAGGATAGAGTTAAAAGATACAAAATTGTTAAAAAAGACAATAAAACACATTAAAATCCTTCACATCATTAAAAGAGAAGTTAAGGCACTGCAAGACAGTTCTGAAGACCCCTCCCTCCCTCCTCCCCCCTGAAGTGGCCTTATTATAAAGCCTGATAGCGTTGGGGAGAAAAGAGTTTTTGAGCCTGTCCTTGGAGCACCTCAGAGAGAGGAGTCTGGAGCTCATGGTGCTTCTCTGGTTGGACAAGATTGCCCTGATCTTGGAGAGCGTTCTTTGCTCCACCACTTCCTCCACTGAATCCAGACCCAGACCCACCACAGAGCCCGCCTTTCTAATGAGCCGTTCAGCCTCTCAGTGTCCCTCTGTCTTGCACTGCCCCCCCAACAGACAACAGCATAAAAAAGGACACTAGACACAACAGACTGATAAAACATGTAGAGAAGCGTATCACAGACCCTGCAAGAAGCCAATCGCCTCAAAAAGTACATCCTACTCTGCCCCTTCTTGTACACAGCGTCCATGTTTCTCTATGGTCTGTTTACTAATTTACTAACAGTGTTTTTTCAGGTGTATTGACTTCATGTGGATGCTAATATTCACTGAGCCTACTCCGTGTTTACAGAAAACGTTTCTAGGAGCTCAAACTAGAAACGTTTTGACTACGTTTGGATGTTACCTTGAGTCTTGTGCCTTCCCCCGCAGCCTCCCGACCACCTTCGCCACGCTGGACATGGACGGCGCCCGTAAGCTCATCTTCGCTCTCCCAGGTAGTGTGTGAAGTAGAGAGCTAGAGTCACATTTTCACCGCTGCTGCTGAGGAGACAGTACTCATGTGATGTCCCCTCTCCCCCTCCCCTACCCCACCCCTCCTCCCCCCCTTCTGTCCGTCCTCTCTCTCTCTCTCTCTCTGCCTCTGACGACTGTCCCAGGAAACCCCGTGTCGGCTGTGGTCACCTGTAATCTTTTTGTAATTCCTGCCTTGAGAAAGATGCAGGGGATTTTGGACCCCAGACCGACCATAATCAAAGCCAGGGTAGGACGCACTCACATCATACATTAGGCCAATATTCACACTATCTCCTCACCTGTTTTAGTTAATCTATTTTTATAAAAGTGTTTTCTGTTTGCTCTATTCCATATTGGTCTATATATTTGTTTGGAACAGTGTGTGTTCATGAACAGCTGCTGAAAATACATCAGATTGTTCCTTAGGCTGATTTCCATTTGTTTTCACACAGTCACACTCACAAACTCATTCACTTTGAACTATTGTACATGATTTTAGCGGTATGGGAAACCGGAGCACCCCGAGGAAACCCGAGCACCTAGAGGAAACTGTTGCGAACACACAGAGAACATGCAAACTCCACCCTCAGGCCCCGTGTGAAGGTGGAATCAAACCCAGGACCTTCTTGATGTGCAAAAGTGTTAACTACTGTGATACGGCTGAAGCAGAAATTCAGACTGAGTCCTCCCTCTGCGACACACACGCATCAGCATCAGCATCACTGCCTTTAAACAGAGCCTCAAGCTGAATCAAGCTGCTGTTCATGCTGTAACTCTACTCCTCCCCTCCACCACCTCATCAGTGGAAGAGTCGTCATGTTTTTGGCTCTGTTCCTTTCGCCACCAGGGTTTAGGCCCAGGGGACTCCAACACCAGGATTTAGACCCGGGTGCACATGCTCTTAACCTTTATTAAATTTGCTCCTGCAGATGTCATGCAGTATTTCTGTCTGGCTCTAATCTCTAAATCTTATTAATCCTTTCATGTTCAAGAAAGGATCAGATACATTTTATTGATACAAACATGACATAAACTTCATTCTAATATGACATTTTTGTCTTGAGTCCTTCCAGATTGAATGTTCTAACTGATCTAATCCATGCCCAGAGAGCCTCTCTGAAGGCTGTATCAGTCATTGTGGCTGTGCTGTTGTCTCTGCAGTTGTCCTGTGACGTGAAGCTGGACCCACGGCCTGAATATCACCGCTGCATTCTGACATGGCATCACCAGGAGCCTCTGCCATGGGCACAGAGCACAGGTAACAGAGCGTCACACCAATCCCTGCGTCTTTGCACCGGCTTCCTGCTCATTTTAGAAACAATGAAGACGGATGAACCTCACATGTCCCTTTTATTCTCTATAGATTTTTGCAGCACGTGAGTTGTGTGGTTCTACTGTCTTTTGATTTTATTTATCCTATTGGTATTTTAGTGACTTAATTTTGATGATTTTGATGATTTGCTTTTTAAAATGACATTGTTGGATTTATTTTTTTAGGTTGACAGATGTTGTTTCTGTGCAGAACTTTGGAACGGTTGGTTTTTAAAATGTGTTATATAGATATAATGTAAATAAGTGGATTGGGTAACCTCCTTGAAATGTTTAATGAATCCTATGAAAAAGGTATTCTACCACAGTCTTTGAGAATGGCCTCCATTTCTGTCATTCTAAAACCAGGTAAAACTCCAACAGAAATGGGTTCATATCGCCCCATATCACTAATGTCCTGTGACACTAAAATATTTGGCAGTGTGAGGAACTTCAAATCTTTTGGAAGCAAATTTGTGCACTAATTTCTGATTTAATTGAATGTAAAATGCCCTTAGATGGTAAACTCTGTATATTGCACATTTTTCCAAATAGCTTTAAATGCAATACAAAGAACAAGAAACTTGTAAATTTTTGCCTGGTGCAGGCGAAATATGTCATTGCTTTAAAATGGAAGGACACAGAAAAACCTGGAGTGAATCAGTGGATTAAACTCATGTCCAGTAACTTGGCGCTGGAGAAACTGACATATATTGCCAAAGGAAAACTGGAGGACTTTAAAGACATTTGGTTGTCCTTTCTACGCCTTGTAAAAGACTTTGATTTGTAGAAAATAATTTTGTTGTAATTGAGTGAAGGGTGGGTTTGAGGGTGGGGGGAGGGTCTTTATTTAATTTTTCTTATGTGTGTGTTATATATTTTGTCCTTAAATTGAAAATTATAATAAACATATTTGTGAAAAAAAAAAATAAGTGGATTGGATAGTTGTTTTTTTCTTACCTGGTAAGAGCACTTTACCTTAGCCCTGTTGCCACCGGCCCAGCTTGGCTCCACTCTACTCTACATGGTTGCATCTCCATTCAGCAATCTACCCTCAACAAACCAGTATCAGGGAAAATGTCCTTGGTAAATATGGCTTCTAGCAGCACTGGCCAATCTCTGACAGTTAGAACTCTTTAGTACCAGCTCGGCCTGGATAGAACCAGGACCAAGAGGGACTAAAGACGGACCTGGTACCAGTTAAACAGCGCCAATGGAAAACTAGTCCCAATCTGGGGAAAGCAGAGTAGAGTAGGGCTGGTGGAAACAGGGATTTTAATACTTTTTCTGAAAAATGTCTTACTTTCAAACTCAAATATTTGCACTTTGCGACCGCTGTGGCAATAAATCATGTCCTAGTTTCAGTTCTCCTTTCTCTGACCACTCTATTTTTCTCTGTTTTTTTTCTGTGTCTTTTGGGGGCGCCCGGCGCAGGGAACCAGGTGAGCTGCCGGCTGATGAGCATGCGCAGCGCCAACGGGCTCCTGATGCTACCTCCCAAAACAGAGCAATACGTGGAGCTGCACAAGGGAGAGGTTGTGGACGTCATGGTGATCGGCCGGCTATGATGTCATCACTGCGGGACGACGGCGGCGAGCGTGCGGCGAGCGTGCGGCGGGTGTGAATGAGGCGGTGGTTCACGGTGCATGTCCACATATCATTGACTATTCTGTAATATGCAACGGCACAGCTAGTTTTTATTGATTTGGAGAACGTTGAGGTATAGTCAACATCTTGATCACACCTAGATACATATAAAAGAATTAATTTAAAAAGATGATAGTATTTCAAACAAAGAAAATATAACTTTTAATGAAAAATCTAATTATAAAAAGAGATTTATTCTGTAATATATTATTATGATTATTCTTATTATTATTATCATTATTCTTATTATTATCATTATATTAAGGCAACTTTCCTTTCATTGCAATTGCTTTGTGTGTTCAATGCTAAACCTTATCTATAGCAGTAGCATTTTAATAGACAGCTGTAGGTGCCTGCCGGGACAAAAAAAAGAAGAAATAATTATTTTTTCATCTTTTATTGGAAAAAAATGATCTGTTTTTTGACAAATAAAGAAGACGTGGAGGAAGACTTAAGATTTCCCATGGTGCTCAGCTACATGGAGGAGTGGGCGTGGCCACTGGGGACTCGGATTGAGGGATTTCGCTCAATGGGGGGTGGATTACAAGTGTGTGGATAAACTGGTGATCATAAAAGGACAGAATCGGCAGCAGTGAGACGTAAATGGCCAGAGATCTTTAAAAAGTTTTAATAATCTCTTGTGCACAAAACGAAAGCCCCATTTCCACCAGCCCTACTTGGCCCTACTCTACTCTACTCTACTCCACTTGGCTCTACGGCCCTGTTTATCCAGTACCAGGAGGTCCTTCTTTAGTCCCTCTTTGCCCTTTCTATCCAGGTCGTGCTGATACTAAAGTGTTCTAACTCACAGCTACAGGCCAGAGTGCTGCTGGAAGCCATGATTACCATTGAACGATACTGGTTTGTTGTGGAAAGGTTTCTAGAACACAGTACCAGATACTAAAGTGTAATGGAAACACAACCAGGTAGAGCTGATTAGAGTAGAGTGGAGCCAAGTAGGGCCAAATGGGGCTTCAGTAAACAACAATACCCACACTCGCTGTTCTAATGTAGTTGAGCTGTACTCCTCCATATTGTGAGGGGAAAACTTGTAAACATGGTGCTTTTTCTGGTGCATTTCCTGTCTAAATAACACTTAAAGCTGAGGTACCTGACTTTTCTTTTTCATAAATAATATATTGTGTTTGCCCCGACAGAAAGAGTTTTGAAAAAAGTTATATTTTGTGAACAAATCAGTCCAAAACCTTCTGTCTTTTTCATATTTGTTATCTGTAAGTGAGAGCCCTGTGCTGATTGGCTGAGTGCAGTTGGTCCGTTCTTTTTGCATTTCCGTTTAAAAAAAAGCTGATTTAAAGACAACTAGTGATAGAAGCTAGTTACATATATGTTGATTGTATAACATTGTTTTTTCTAGTTTTTTAACCATGTTACATGTTAATACATACCTCCTTCATACAAACAGACCTTGAGTTGTTTTTTAGCTTCATACACGCTTGTTTCAACCCCTCTCGAATGCAGCCTTTTAAACTAATTTTCAATTATTACAACATTGCAGCATTGATGGTGGGAGGAACCCTGGCGTGTTATACCTAGTTTTAAAGCTGGTTTTCATGTAATCTAATATATTTTGAATTCAAAACTTAATAACAAATAGTTTATTTACATACATTTATTCATTGGCAACAGTCTACAATTACAAGTTTGTGGTACTTTCGGTTCACAATGTATGTGTGTATCGCCCTGAATCACAACAGCAGTCGTCTCAGAGGACATTACAACGTTCTGGATTTGCCAACAACAAATCAGAGATTCAAAAAGTTTGAACATACAAAATGCAATAATAACAAACACTTGGGAGCCATAGGTCCAAAAAGAGCAGGATGACCACTGTCCAGAATGTGAATACATGTGCTGAGACACGTGTTTTTTGTACCTCTAGAATGTAAATATCAATTTGAAACATGGTTATGGTAGAGACAAGTCTGCACAATTCTGTATGCAATCCTGCCGTACTGATTTGCACTCCGCCCCTTTTCGCAGACCTGGCCCCAAGTTATGAAACAGCTGATATTTTCTTCTTCTTCTTTTGAGCCATGCCTGCGAAACACTGTTAAACCGTTCATTTTAGAGAACTGGCGGTGTGGTCAGAGTAGAAAGTAGAGGAATACATCCAGGAATCAATTTTAAGTGACAAGGACAACATTAGAAGCACTTTAATCTATTTTTGAATTATATGTCTAGGTTGCGTCCATGCCCTAGATTTGTTTGTATTGCTTTTGACGATCATTAATGATGTTAGTTTTTTTTTCTTTTTTTATCATTTTTTAATTCATACATTTATTCTTCTTTTAAATAAGTGGGATAGTAGTATTTTTTCCTGGTATCAGCACTTTTTGTCCTGTTTCCTCCAGCCCTACATGGCTCTACACTACTCTAATAATGGGTTGCGTTCATGCTCTAGATTTCTATTTCAGTTTGAGTAGTGGTGAATACAACTATATTTGTGACAAGCTGTGTATAATGTGCAGTGGAAGTGTGAGGATCACAGGAGGACTGAAAACCAGCGACTGCAGTGTCGTTGATGCACTAAAACAATATAAATCATCGCCATCTACTGGCCGTTTGAGGAACTGCACACTATTGAACTGATACAGGACCATTGTTTGACTGTTCAGTTTCCATAGTTACCAGGATTTGCCAGCTGTCCTCCACCACAGTGTTAAACTATAGGCTCTTTGGGAATGTTGTGATGTCACATGAATGCAACCTATTCTCAAATGTTTCTTTGAGGTATACAGGCATTATTGATGAAGGCTTTATGTTGACCATATTTAAAAACCCTTGGGGCGAAATGTCCGATGCGAGAACCCTGGTGGCCACTTCCTGTCCGAGCAGCCCTGACTTCCCGTACCAGGGGCCTTTCCGTTGTTTTACTCATTAGTATGCACCATAACGGCTTCACAAAGAGCTTTGCTTGTTGTTTATCTTGTGAGTCTTGTTTATGTGCGCAGTGCCAAATGCCTGGGCAGGGGGCAACGCCAGAGTGCGCAGAGGGCGGGGTTAGGAGTAGCAGGAGGAGGTGTCCGGGGAGAGTGGGGAAAAACCTGCCCAAAGCTTCCTTACACCGGGCCCTCCCTCGCCTCCCTGCAGCGGGGCGGGCGAGTGAGCCTAGGAAAATAACCTTTTATTTGAGCGAATATTTATGAGAACTATGAAATATGATCAAAAGAAGCAGCTTCTTTGAGTGCTGACAGCCTTTTTATCAGACTTCACAAAAAATGTACAGAAAAAATGGAACCATACTGTACAGATATATGTGACCAGCACTCCCAAGGAAATTATTATTATTATTATTATTATTATTATTAAGCAATGAGGAGACATTGAACAACGCTGTACTATAAACATTTTCTGTAATGAGATGAAACGGACGAAAGAGACGACGAGAATAAAATCCTTGATCATTATGTAAAAAAAGTTCTTGTTGGGTTTCCTTTTTTAATAAAAACTATATAAACAACATCTGTGCGTTTGAAAATGTTTTCTCATGTAATGTATTCAAAGGTATGCCTGAAAGTTTTACACGCTCAGGCAGAATATTTTATTTTGTGGCCATATTTTGGAGATTAAGAATTATAACACATAAACAATTCTTTGCACTCCTTTTTCAGTGTTTGTGTGATGTCATTTATCGTCAAATGCATGTGTTTTCTATTTTCAAATGATAATGGTTACAGAAAATACCCAAATTACACTGATTAGGAGCAATTTTACGAAAACTCAAAGATGCTTTACAAAGAGACGGATTAAAAAAAAACAAAAATAGGTGGGTTTTGATGCAGTGAGTTTTGTGTTGTGGGAGTGAGTTCTAGAGAGTGGGCAGCTGCAGCAAAGGCTCGATCCTCAGGGTTCAGAAGGCTCGGTCCTCAGGGTTCAGAAGGCTCGGTCCTCGGGGTTCAGAAGGTTCGGTCCTCGGGGTTCAGAAGGTTCGGTCCTCGGGGTTCAGAAGATTCGGTCCTCAGGGTTCAGAAGGTTTGGTCCTCAGGGTTCAGAAGGTTCGGTCCACGGGGGTTCAGAAGGTTCGGTCCTCGGGGGTTTCGGAAGGTTCGGTCCTCAGGGTTCAGAAGGCTCGGTCCTCGGGATTCAGAAGGTTCGGTCCTTGGGGTTCAGAAGGTTCGGTCCTCGGGGGTTCAGAAGGTTCGGTCCTCGGGGTTCAGAAGGTTCGGTCCTCAGGGTTCAGAAGGCTCGGTCCTCAGGGTGCAGAAGGCTCGCTCCTCAGGGTTCAAAAGGTTCGGTCCTCAGGGTGCAGAAGGCTCGCTCCTCAGGGTTCAGAAGGTTCGGTCCTCGGGGTTCAGAAGGTTCGGTCCTCAGGGTGCAGAAGGCTCAGTCCTCAGGGTTCAGAAGGCTCGGTCCTCGGGGTTCAGAAGGCTCGGTCCTCAGGATTCAGAAGGTTCAGTCCTCGGGATTCAGAAGGTTCGGTCCTCAGGGTGCAGAAGGCTCAGTCCTCAGGGTTCAGAAGGCTCGGGGTTCAGAAGGCTCGGTCCTCAGGATTCAGAAGGTTCGGTCCTCGGGATTCAGAAGGTTCGGTCCTCAGGGTGCAGAAGGCTCAGTCCTCAGGGTTCAGAAGGCTCGGTCCTCGGGGTTCAGAAGGCTCGGTCCTCAGGATTCAGAAGGTTCGGTCCTCGGGGTTCAGAAGGTTCGGTCCTCAGGGTTCAGAAGGCTCGGTCCTCAGGGTGCAGAAGGCTCGCTCCTCAGGGTTCAGAAGGTTCGGTCCTCGGGGTTCAGAAGGTTAGGTCCTCGGGGTTCAGAAGGTTCGGTCCTTAGGGTGCAGAAGGCTCAGTCCTCAGGGTTCAGAAGGCTCGGTCCTCGGGGTTCAGAAGGCTCGGTCCTCAGGATTCAGAAGGTTCAGTCCTCGGGATTCAGAAGGTTCGGTCCTCAGGGTGCAGAAGGCTCAGTCCTCAGGGTTCAGAAGGCTCGGTCCTCAGGGTGCAGAAGGCTCGGTCCTCAGAAGGTTTGGTCCTCGGGATTCAGAAGGTTTGGTCCTCGGGATTCAGAAGGTTCGGTCCTCGGGGTTCAGAAGGTTCGGTCCTCGGGGTTCAGAAGATTCGGTCCTCGGGGGTTCAGAAGGTTCGGTCCTCGGGGTTTCAGAAGGTTCGGTCCTCGGGGTTTCAGAAGGTTCGGTCCTCAGGGTTCAGAAGGCTCGGTCCTCAGGGTGCAGAAGGCTCGGTCCTCAGGGTTCAGAAGGTTCGGTCCTCGGGGTTCAGAAGGCGTTCAGAAGGTTAGGTCCTCGGGGTTCAGAAGGTTCGGTCCTCGGGGTTCAGAAGGCTCGGTCCTCAGGGTGCAGAAGGCTCGGTCCTCAGGGTTCAGAAGGTTCGGTCCTCGGGATTCAGAAGGTTCAGTCCTCGGGGTTCAGAAGGTTCAGTCCTCGGGGTTCAGAAGGTTCGGTCCTCAGGGTGCAGAAGGCTCAGTCCTCAGGGTTCAGAAGGCTCGGTCCTCGGGGTTCAAAAGGCTCGGTCCTCAGGGTGCAGAAGGCTCGGTCCTCAGGGTTCAGAAGGTTCGGTCCTCGGGGTTCAGAAGGCGTTCAGAAGGTTAGGTCCTCGGGGTTCAGAAGGCTCGGTCCTCAGGGTTCAGAAGGTTCGGTCCTCGGGGTTCAGAAGGCGTTCAGAAGGTTCGGTCCTCGGGATTCAGAAGGTTCAGTCCTCGGGGTTCAGAAGGTTCAGTCCTTGGGGTTCAGAAGGTTCGGTCCTCAGGGTGCAGAAGGCTCAGTCCTCAGGGTTCAGAAGGCTCGGTCCTCGGGGTTCAAAAGGCTCGGTCCTCAGAAGGTTCTGTCCTTGGGATTCAGAAGGTTCGGTCCTCGGGATTCAGAAGGTTCGGTCCTCGGGGTTCAGAAGGTTCGGTCCTCGGGGTTCAGAAGGTTCGGTCCTTCTGTTTGTTGTGGTTTCATATTGTACCTCAATGACATCACAATTGTTTTTCCTTTAAAACAAAGTATTGGCCAGGTCAAATAACAATCTTAACTATCACATGGCAGTGGTTGCAGCCGGCAATAACTTCTACAAGCAGCATGTTTTACTCGATACTTGTTAAACCATGTATTTTTGATGTCTATTGCTTAAGTCGGACTGCAATTGGAATAAATCTATTTGTATTGATATTTCTATTGGTCACATCCTTTCAAACATTTATACATTGTTTTACAGGTTTATTCTTTTTATCCCCTGTTTTGAACACACATGATCTAAAACCATCTAAACATTGTAACGAGTTGATTAAAAGCAAGACACATTTGTACAAAATATAGATGTTTTTGCCTATTCATATTCACAGCACAGAAATGGTGTAAAATACAAAAAAGGCAAATTGGTGCTAGAGGGTGAGGTAGAACATGAAGAACAAAAGGCTGAAGTGACTCCTGACAAATGTTTGTTTTACACATAATACCCACCTCCTGCTCTGCTGATCTGTGGCTACACCTCCTCTTCTGCTGATCTGTGGCTGCACCTCCTCTTCTGCTGATCTGTGGCTGCACCTCCTCTTCTGCTGATCTGTGGCTGCACCTCCTCTTCTGCTGATGTCTGACTGCACCTCCTCTTCTGCTGATGTCTGACTGCACCTCCTCTTCTGCTGATCTCTGACTGCACCTCCTCTTCTGCTGATCTGTGGCTACACCTCCTCTTCAGCTGATCTGTGGCTGCACCTCCTCTTCTGCTGATCTCTGACTGCACCTCCTCTTCTGCTTGTCTGTGGCTGCACCTCCTCTTCTGCTGATCTCTGACTGCACCTCCTCTTCTGCTGATCTCTGACTGCACCTCCTCTTCTGCTGATCTCTGACTGCTCCTCCTCTTCTGCTGATCTGTGGCTGCACCTCCTCTTCTGCTGATCTCTGACTGCACCTCCTCTTCTGCTGATCTGTGGCTGCACCTCCTCTTCACTCTTATTAGAGCAGGAGGAACACCACAATGTATTGTTTTGTTGTTCAAACACACACTGTTGAAATCTAATGTCTTATAGCAACCGTATATTCATCTTTCTTCATTCTGTGACAAACGGTCGCGGCCGCTGCTGCTGCTGCTGCAGATCTCAGACTCTCTCAGACACATTTGCAAATGGGACTAACAGAACACAAGTGCTATATGATGCAACTATACAACTCACTGATCAGACGGTGTCTAGAGTAGTGTTTTTCAACCTTTTTGAGCCAAGGCACATGTTTTTCATTGAAAAAATCTCGCGGCACACCACCAGGAGAAAATGTGAAAATATATACTCTGTAGCCTATATTTACAATATAAAGTAATTCTCATCCAGGCCTTGACATTAAGCTTTACAATGAGTTAAGAGTTTGGAAATAAAGTGGCACTAACTGAAAAAAAACATTTTAAAAAATTCACTCTCAGCTCAAAAAGTCAAGAAATGACTCAGAGGGCTCTTAAAGGAGCAGTATGTAAAAATCTGGCCAAAAGTGGTACTGCAGTCACAGTCAATATTTTGTAGTCCTCTCCCACTCTCCCCGACTCAGGTTGCCAGATACACACCAAATCCAGCAGCAAACACAGGGAATTATTTTATCAGTTATTTGTCTGTCTCCATTCACATTGCCATGAGCCGTGCTAATGTTGAATGAATGTTTTTTTATTTTTTTTATTTAAACATTTGAGATGAGAAAAACAAAATAAAAGCTATGTAATTATACGTAGATTATGCAAAATAAATAAGCAATTGGTGTCCAAAATAGGAGTGGAAAGAATTAATGTTGGAACGTATTTCTTCAGCGTATCAACATCAGGGTTTCCTACAGAGAATATCACCCTTCGATTTTTTGTATTCCCTATTTTTTAGACATACATGTATAAGTCCCACATCAAATAGAGACAAACATTACTTTATTTGGGTACATGTGGTCTCAAATGATTCTTATTACAAATAAGCTTTAATCTGCAAATAACAGCTTGTTTTTACCTTTTACCAATGTAGAACAATCCGTCATAAAATAAATCATTTATTGTTAAATCCAAAAAATATCTCGCCCAGATTCAAACCCCGTCCACTGGGGCGCCGCAATGACTTAACCATTAGGCCGTTTTTACATATAAAGAATTGTGGACTCCAGGTAGGTATGAACTGTCAATGAAAGAACGCACCCAACGCAGCAAGTTCTGCATCACGGAAAGTTTGTGTCCGCCTTCAATTGACCCGATATAAATCCTCGTTTTAGTCTTTGGTTTGTCATTAATGATTTGAGAATCATAACAAGACCTTTTTTTAGTTCTACGGCCACATGTTATTTTCACTAGCCGCGGGGAGTTGTGGCAACCCAGACGTCAGACTTCCTGATTGGTGAAACGGCGAAGGGTAGGACATCGAAATGAAAACAATAACAACTTTTACGAGTCGTAAAACTAATTTTGATATTCAAATATCTTGGCTGAACTACTGTTATCAGTTAAAGATGTGTGATTTAATAATGCCTTTTGAAATATTGGGGCCATTTAATGATGATTATGGAAATAGGGGCGACAGTAGCTCAGTTGGTAGAGCATTGGCCTTTGGGCCTGAAGGTCGTGGGTTCAAGCCCACCATAAGACCTACTTCACGACTCCCACTGATGACTGCTGTCGTTGTGTCCTTGGGCAAGACACTTAACCCCACTTTGCCTGAAGCTCCCACTGAAAGATCTCAGCTCCTGTGGACCACCTGCAGGAGGATCAGTGAGGGGCTGGTGCTAAGTGTACTGGGTGCAGCGCTGACTGCCACCCCCCCGACCCAGAAATGGATTAAGGGGAAGAAAATGGATGGATGGATATGCAAATATTACATATTGCTACTTTAAGTATGCAAAATAATGATACAAAAAATGGCCTGATGTGTGTTCTGTTTGATTTGTTCACAACATTTTACTTTTGTGCACAAATAACATGCATTGTTAATGCATGGGGATAATTTAGGTATCCCAGCTTTAAATTCGGGGGACTTTAATTGCGCTTCGGGAGGAGACACGGGGAGCAGCCGCGGCGCCAGGGGTAGGCCTGTGCCTACCAGTTTTTTTCTTGGCCTACTCAAATTTGTTCTTCGCCTCTCAAGTCATTAGCCTTTTTTATTAAAAGTCATAATTTAAATATTGTTATTTTTAAACACAAATTATTGCTAATGCCTAAATGTTGCGTTCTAATGTTTTAAGAAAATATAACCCCCTGAGCGTCATCACGTTCCATCACGTTAAACAAATATAGTCCTGTTTATTGGCTGAACAATTTTGTCCAATATCATATCACACAGCGTGAAGCGAGAACAACCAGCTATTCCTCGTCTTAAAGATTGACAACGCTCTCAAAGCATTCACAACAGAGCAGCCTTTTTCATTTTAATTTTAAGAAAGTTCAGCGTGAACTTTGTGAGGTAGAGTAGCCAGAGGCCCGGGCCCGTAGGTCCCAGAGGAGGAGGGTCAGGCCAGGCTGGCCTCGCACTGATGAGGTAAACTCTAGGCCTGTGTGAGACACACTGTGGGCCTCATGTATGAAACCTGCGTACGGCCAAATCAGGGTAAATGAGGCGTACGCAAAATATTACACTTTTCCGCATTTATCTATCTGGACGTGAGCGTACAATACGCAAAAAATATACGCCAGGTTTGGAGGTGGTGTAAATCTATACGCTGATCTCAACCTTCGGCACAACACGCCAAAACACGCATGAAATTCAAGATATGTACAACAATAAACATGTTCCCTCTGGCAAAATTATATGCTGTGTTTTCATTGAGGATCATGTTTCAAAATTTGAATTTGCGCATCAGAAAAAGTCTAATGGAACCACGCAAACTTCGAATAAATCACAGCTCATGATGAGGACCCTCTATTAAATCTGACTTGTGTGTGTATTATTTTGATCTGTATGTTTTTAAAATGTGAAGCACTTTGTGATCCTGGACAATACACTTTACGCAACAGGGATGTGTGACCTGTGGCAGGCTCTGCGCTGCGTAATTACGCACGGCTATTTGTATTCCTCATTCACATCTAAAGCAATGTGTTATTTCATTAGATTTGTGTAAGCCTCACACAGACACACACCCCAATAACGCATCGATGGTATTGCTCACTCACAAATGTCTCACTGCCCTGTCCAGAGTGCGCAGCGAGTGCCGTGAGAGGTCGCGCCACATGTGCAGAAGTTTTGGCTCTAGAGTTTCTTTGTGAAATCTGGACCGCAAACGCTCTCTGAAGTGTACAGCGCTTCAATGCGCACTTCTACCCCGAGCCAGGCTGCGTCCAAGACGCTGCAGACGCTTCATTCATGAGAGCCACCGTTGCATAATATATATGAATTATTCGTTCATTCAATCAATCTATATTTATTCACTTCTACAATTCAAGAAGGATTTTTCTAATGTATCAAAACATTTTGGCAAATTTGTTCAAAACGCAGCTGAATATATAGCGCATATTTATTATTACATAAACATGAACAAACAAACGTGCCTTTTGAGGCTTCCAAACAGTCTTTTTGGCCGGCTTCCTGCTGACCTGTCACGAAGACGTGGCGTGAAACACGCGATTGCTGCATAATTCTAGGCGTGACTAAATACGTTCGTATTCAGCCGATTCATCAACACCCGCAGCTGCGTACGCTCAGAACTGGGCGGATCTCACACGTTCATAAATCCGACGTTGGATTTTGCGTAAATGGAATATACACCCAAAATGTACTTTTTCTACGCAAGTTTCATAAATGAGCTTGTGTGTATGTGCGCGCGTGAGTGCGTGTGCGTGCGTGTGTGCGTTTGAACCATATTCTTTGAAACCCCAATTCCAGTTAGCCCTTGTAGTTTGCAAGCGAATTTGGCCTACTTACTAATCTGCAGGCCTACCCAAAATTGCAAACCTGGCGCCGCTACTGCTTTGCCGTCTGAGTGTTTTCATAAGTTTAAGTTAAAGTTTGCAGTAGTTTGTGTGTTTAAGTCAAAGGTGTGCGTTATAAAAGTAAGTACTGTGTATGGAAATGTTTAGTTAAGTGTAGTTTCATAGTCATGTGTGTTTTTCACTGCTAATTGATGCATGCGTCCATCACATGGCCATCACGTGGCTCCTCTGTTTAGAGCGATGAGCGCGGCGCTGCACTATGACATGTTTGTAGATGTGGATGTAATATGTTAGTGTGAGTTTGTTAGTCTTTCCACTAATAGATAATTATTGTATAGTAAGTTTAAGTTCAGTGTGTTATAGTGAAGATGTGAATATAATTCAGATACTGTATTAAGAGATGTAGCCAATTATCTAATATTATGTTTATTGTTTCTGTTTTAGGACCACACACACATCCATAAGCTCAAGCTTCAATAAATCATCATATTGAACTCCCTGACTCATCATTGGGTTCTAACCCAGTGGTTCCCAAAGTGGGGGTCCCGACCCCCCGGGGGATCGCGGGAACCCCTGGGGGGGTCGCAAGATGATTTCCAAAAAAAAAAAAAAAAAAAAAAAAGATTTTTTTTTTTAGCAAATTAATAGCCCTTAAATATTTATTTTGCATTTGATTTGATTCAAAAGGATTACTTGTTAAATTATGTTAGGAGAATATAATATATTTTAATTACGTTGTCCCAGTCATTGACAGCCAATCAAAATTAAGTTACGCAGCTCACATCATGCGCAACCACAAAGCGTGTCCATGTTTGCTAAAACTAAAGGTGTTTGGAGGCTACAAACAAATAATACCTGCTTTAAAATGAAACATGGTTAATATCCACAACAGAAAAACCCGGAGGGGGAGAAAAGTCACATGTGAGGTCAGGCTGATGGTGCGAAGAGAGGGAGAGAGGGCAGCGGAGGGAGAGAGGGCAGTGGAGGGAGAGAAGGCAGCGGTGGAACAGCGCGGTAAAGAGGCCCGGCTTTTCGGAGTCAGTGGTAAAGAGGTCCGCACATTAAAAGCGGGTGGCCGGTTTATGCTGTTACTTACAGTAACTTTGGAAAGAGAAGCCTCGGGGATGAACCGCATAAAGTAACAGCAGAAAGCGGCCGCCCGCTTTTAATGTGCGGACCTCTTTACCGCTGACTCCAAAAAGCCGGGCCACTTTACCGCGGTATGAGAACAGCGAGGGCGAGCCGCAAGAAATGCGCTCCACTTCTGCTAAGAAGGGAGCCCACCAAGCCCATCACTGTGTCACTACGTGAGTAAAAATACGCAAGCCTCCTTTTTTGGGCTGGACAGTGCAGCTCAGTAGTGGTAGGAGTCTCTGCGTTACTCCGTATCAAGGAAATACATGCTCATTGACGGGAAAGGACTGTTGAGGTGGGGGGTCGCGGGGGAGCAGCGCATTTATGATGGGGGTCGCGGGCTAAAAACTTTGGGAACCCCTGTTCTAACCGACCCACCACAGTGTTCTGGACATACCATTCAACATCAGTACAGTCACTCTCCTTTTCAGTATTAAATGCAGGAGTCTTTGAGGCTGAAGTGGGCACTGAACTCAACTGGGGTCATGGGTGGGTCAAAACTTAGACAGTTCCGTTTCACCACTAGATGGCGGTATTATCAACAAAATTAAATGAGAGGGACATTTACATAAACTTTCCAACAACTTAACGGAGACACGGGAAGAACATGCAAACCTCATCCGACCAGTATTCGAACCCAGGATCTTCTTGCTGAGAGGCGAGAGTGCCACTCAGCCAAGATTTACAGTCTAAACTAGTCTGGCAAGCTCTTTTTGACTACAGAATTTTAGTTGCATACTAATACTACTCTTGCTTTTTGGTGATTCGTTCAGTGGATAATATTGTGGACATTTGTAGAACCTGTGGAACAAGCATTCATTAAATCACCTAAATCATTATGTAAAGGAACTCTTATCTTATCTTATCTTATCTTATGTAAGTTTTGGACATTCATCATTTGCATACCTGTCAATCAGAAGATAAGGCCTACAGGTGAACAGTTCCTAACCATTTTTCACTAACTATTGTATTGTTCCTGGTATCTGTACTTACACTGAAAAAAGTAAAACAGTGCTGTTGTTCATTCAATATGTTCTTTGCCATTGTTTTAAATAAAGACAATCAAATTGGTCTTTACAATTAAAACCATACAGATTGAACATTGCGTGTTGATAAAGAAATGTTTGTTCATTTAGTTGTCCATTTCAAATCGGTAATAATTTATAAAAGTTAATTGATCAAACGAACAATTCTTCGTCGAGCTCATCTAGCGCATGCGCTGTACCAAGTCAGCCCTCCAACACAGGGGGCAGCACTGAAAATAACAGCGCTGGACTCTGCCATTACCACGCTGCAGAAGATGACACACCATGTGCTCCAGAGGCTTCCACCCCCACGTTCAACAAACGTGACCAAGACTTCGAACCTGGCCATACCCACGACTGTGCCACTTTTCAGCGGTAAAAGGTAATTAAAAGGTACATTTAGACTTGTAGAATGAATAAATGTTTTTTTGTATGCACAGATGCACGTAAAATAGGCTATTGGAGATGTTTTATTGTAATAGGCTATGTTTTTGGTACAAGTCTGCCTTACTGGGGATTACTGTAATACATTTATCTGTGTATCAACGTCATATATACTATATATATGAGTATTAGATCGAGGGTTTTATTTTGAACACCGATTACGTTTTCTTATGAGAAGATTTACTCAAACGTCAAAGGCTAAGACCTACAAAACTGATGTAAATGGATCTTTTTTCCTTGCGTTGTTGCTGTATTGGTCATTTTTTTGGTTGCTCTTTTGTGGCTTTCCTGTTTCATTTTTGTCACATTTTGTCTCTTTTTTTGTCACATTTTAGTCTTTTTCATCACATTTTTGTTGCGTTTTCATCATTTTCTTCTCGATTTGTTGCCATTTTGACGTTTTTTCCGGAAGTTTTTAGATTTGAGCTGAGCCAAACTGGAGAAAATGTTCATAGTTCAGGTGGGTGTTAAGGGGTTAAAGGGCTAAAATTCCTCAAAATAGAACTGACTCTTTGCTGCCTTAGAGAGGAGTTTAAAGCTGTGATACTTGCCAAATTTTATAAATATAATTGGTTATGATGAAGAAAAAGAAATCGTGAAACAATCCAAATAAAATTTGAAACTACTATTTAATTTTTAACAAGTTGACCTTGCATCTGATGTGACAAACGGGTCATTTTAAGTAAGTTTAACCAAAAAAATCCTTTAATATTACTTAAAGGTACTTCAGTGTCTTTATCAATCCAATAAAAAGGTACATACTTAGTTTTATACAGTATACATTTCATCCTTTTTTTTTTTTTTTTTTTCTACAGGCTTCCATGAGCGGTACATTGGACGCAGGTACACGAAGGCAATACATACTGAAGTTAGTGATGCTATTCCTTGGAGATCCTGTGGATGCAGTCATTAAAGAACATCAGGTATGGTGGCAAGGCCGGAAATCAACTTTTTTTTGTTTTTGTTTTTTTTTACTCGTATCTCAAAAATGTATGAAAAAATTTAGAAGCACAATTTAAAAAAATTCTACTGCACTCAATGGCCTGGATTTGAAATTTGTCAAGTTGGCCTCTAATGGTATTAACAGGTGTCAATTCTACACAGCTTACAGAACGTACCTGCCTAACAGCAGATATACATAAATTGAATGGTAATTGAATCAGCAATCAAGATGACACTAGTATTGATGCATTGGACAGTCATAAAAAAACCTAAAGTCAGAATTTTCTTCCAAAAATCCTGACTTTACAGGACTTTAGCCTACGTGAGGCGCATTTGTAAATGTGGCCCAACAGTCTGTCATAACACAAGCTCTGAATTATATGGCGGACAATGAGTTACTGATGGACAGTCACAAGACGGGCACAACTTTTGTACTGGATGTAAAGTCTTCACTAAATAATACTTCAGTGTTCCTTCGCAGTAGGCATTTTTGTCTTCAAGTTGATGAAGCATACACAAACTTTTTTTAATGAACATGTTTTAAAAAAGTTATTGGCCTGTCTTTAGTGTAAATATTTTTAAATTTTTGTGCGGCATTGATGATAGCTTTTACCTCGGAGATAAAAAGTTCCTCCTTGATGAACAGACGTTTCTTCTTAAGTATTTACATCCAATGTAACATTTTTAATGTGTCTTGGACTGTTCATCAGTAACTCATTGTCAATCATGTTTTCTTGAACTATTAATTGATTTGGACGAGAACTGCTATTCCCTCATAAATAACGGTAGAGGAAGAGTTATAGGTACCGTAGAATCTAGTCAAATCCCCACATTTAGAGCCAATCATATTATATAAAGCATTTAAAAAAGGCTATTGTAAAATTATTATAAAATGAACAGAATTTAAAGCTGAACATATTTTTGAGGGTTTGTTAAACCGAAAATGTATATATAGTTAGTTAGTAATGGGACTGTGTGTGATAGATGGATATATAAAACTCTTACCTCCTGCCTTAACCGAGCACATTTTCTCCAGATCAGCTTTACCTAAATCTAAAAGCTTATTTACAGCCTATAAGCCAGAGTAATGCCTCATTCAAAAGCTAGGACCTACAACAATGATAGTGACTTTTTTTTGTTGCGTTGTTGCCACGTTTATTGTCGCATTTCTGTCATGGTGTTGTCTTTTTGTTCCTTTCTTCTTTGCTTTATGTTCTTGCTTTTTGATTTTTTTGTTGGTGTTTGTTGCTTTTTTTCTTTTCTGCACGCTTTTGATTTGTTTGTTGTTTTTACAAAATGGGGAAATCGTATTTTGTCATGAAACAAGGTGAACAACTTTTAAAATATTGTAAGATAAATACTTGGGTATTGCTTCAATACATTTTAGAGCATACATCTGTTTTTCAAGAATCTTCGCTACATTAAATGCATGTATTGTCCATTTTCTCAAATGTTATTTTCAAAAGCATAATTATAACGTCTGAAGTACTAGAGACTCATTCAGACTGGTTAACCTGGTTTAGACTGACCATAAAAATCTTTGCATTATTTGTTAATTCTATTATGTGTTATTCCACTCATGTTTTGCAGATCCAGCAAGATTTCAGTGTAGAGGAAGAGACCATGGCAGTCGTCGTAACACCCACCGATGTGAAGGTTGTACTGGAAGGTGAAGAAGTCATGACAGATCTGCATTCAATGGTCCAAGGCTTTGCAATGCTTTTCGGCCTCATCTACGCCCTCAACATGAAGTACCCAAAGAAATGTGAACGCACATTTGAGTTCGTTCAAAAGGTACTCATGGGACTGGATAACAAGAAAATGAACACCAAAGTTCACAGGCTGAGTGTTTTGCTACACTGTGAGTAGTATGCATATACTCTTGGCAGTACAGTTTTATGAGGTTTTATTGTTCTCTCATTGCCTTTTACTATGTGCATGTATTGTAAATGCATAGAAATATTGTTATGCATTCAACAACAGTTTAACAGATTGTTCACTTTGTTTCTGCAAAAGTTACTTGTTGTAACCAAAACATTCAAAACCTTTTTTTTTTTTGTCACATTCCTTGGCTGATTTCAGTTCTGCTAAAACAGATTTTTCATGCAATAATGGCATTAAAAGTACTATTTTGGTCATTAAAAAAACAAAATGTTGCCTCCTGCTACCTGGATAAAAAAAATGTAACGAATTAATGGAAGTTGCATTTGTACGTTCTGTCCCTTTTAATAAAATATTTGATTCAATTAATCAAAATGTGTTGAGTGAACTTACTAAATTTAAATTAAGCCTTTTATTAAAAGTACATTGGTTTAATGAAAGTTTTTAAATAGGCCCATATCTGCTAATGAAGACTTTTAAATTGACTCAATGAGCTTTTGAATGTTAAAGTCATAAACATTTTCTTGTTGAACCAATTTAAAATATTAAAGGTTACAGATGAAACATTTACAGTTTGATTAATGGATATATATCCTTATGAACAACTAGTAAAATTTGGATGTAAATGATTTCTATATAATTTTCAGATTAAACCAATGTTTTATTTTTTTCAGTGTATGTTCCAAATGTTGTAATGTTGTAAAGTTGTTACAACATAGCAAACACAGCATTACAGATTTACAGATATTACAGAACAGTATGACATTAAGTTTAACTCTAAGGAGTCAGTAGTTATGGTGGTGAGGACCAAAGAACACCTGAAGAACTCTTTTCCTGCCTTTTATTTGTCTGGTGGGGTGCTTCAGAATGTAGAGAAGGCCAAATACCTGGGGCACATAATCAGGAGTGACCTCAGTGAAGACGATGACATTCAGAGGCAGCACTGTAAGCTGTATGGACAGGCTAACACTTTGGCACGAAGATTTCACATGAGTACAGATAAAGTGAAAATAACTTTGTTTAAAGCCTACTGCACTCCGCTCTATACTGCCCACTTGTGGTGCAGATACAGTAAGAGTAAGTTTAAGAAGCTGCAGGTTGCATATAATGATGCACTTAGAATTTGACTGAGAGTCCCTTGTTGGACTAGTGCCAGCTCACTGTTTGTTTTTAATAATGTCCCCACTCTGACTGCTGTGATCAGACATTGTATTTATAAGTTCATGAAACGCTCTGAGCACTCTTTAAATGTAATAATGAATGTTTTTACTGTACAGAGCAGTGTTAGGCACACCTCTGATCTCTGGAGGCATTGGAGAAGCTGTCTTTATAGAATTTTGTAAATATTGAATGTTTGTGTGTTTTTTGTCTCTTTTGTTTTATATGGACCCTTTGTGTGTCTGAATTAAAGATTAAATAAAATAAAAACATAACAATCGAAAATACAAATAGTTTTGTTTTATTTTTATAGGAAATTGGCTTGTTGCAGAATGTGGCTGTGCTAGTTTCTCTAACCAGAGACCAGGTGAATACTTCCTGTCCTATTCAGTTACTATTTTATTTTGCAGAATTTTGACATTAAGAAATGTAATGAGAGAGGGGGGAAGAAGGGGGGGGTCTCCATAGGAAATGAATAAAATAAGAAGTACCTGGCCCACTCCTCAGGAAACACTGCACTGATGTACAATATGACTGAAACTTGAACAATTTTATATTGTCAAACACTTTCCTATATCATCACCACTATTTCTATTAGTTTCTATTCCAGAAAGTCTCTGGGATAGCTGTGCCAAACACACAAACACACCACACGTTTTTTTTTTCTACAATTTTAGGCTACATGGTCTAGGTTATCCTATATATTAAGTTTAGCCTATATATCATTTACAGGCATAGTAATGTTAAACTAAAATGTACTTTTGCTTGTGTTCTATTTTAGATGCACTGACTCAACGACTGAGTAGGGCAAATACCTATGCATTCGCACAAGCTGTGCAGAAGTGGCTGTGTTACGCCCCAGACCGAGTGGGAGGAGCTGGACGGCTGACGCAGAGTGGGCGCGTTAAAAGCAAAAAATAATAATACAGATACAATAAAAAATATGTATTTTTAAAAGATGCTTGGGGTGTCATTTGTGCTAGTCTAGGCTTTAGCCTTAAGATTTGCTATAGTTTCTCTGTTCTATATTTTGCTAGTCAATAAAGCAGGATCAAAATAGCCTAATAATATTTGTAATTTAGACCTTCAGATTAAACCTATGGTAAAATAGCCTACCATTGAAGTTATGTTGATATATGCTGGAATTTCAGCATTGTTTCAATGTCCATTATATTTGAAATACCATTGAAATACTGTTGATTTATGGGTATGATTTCAACGTTGTTTCAATGATAATAGAGGGTGCAACATGATGTAGCATCAACATCAGAGTTCAACGTTGATTCAATTATTTTATCATTGACCGCAGGATGTTGATTTAACATTGTTTCAATTACTATTTTCTATCTGCAGGCATCTTGTGGCTTTACAACAGTGTTAGGCTATAACCACGGATCTATAATGGATATAACACAACATGACCAGCTTAGCATTAGAATGGCTGTTATTATTATTATTATTTATGTGTGGCCATTCTACAATAAATAAGTAACAATGCTGTTCAGACAGATTCTCGGACATGTTTCCTCCATGGAGCTCTCCAGTGCATAGGAACAAGAATTGAATACATTGATGAGACAGAACCACTGTGGTAAGACCTTAGGGCACTGTGCAGAAACCATATACTGTAAAAAACAGACACACACAGTGCCCTCAGTGACAAAAAAATATTAGGCGAACATCAGAAGAGGGCGCTAAATCCTCAATTGCCGGGATTTGACGTGCATAAAAATCTGAGGTCAATGCGATTCTATGGTGCGAACGGGGTCGTGATGAATGAGCTGCTTTTGGTGTTGCGCAGGGATAGGAGCAGCAGAGATGCGCGGTAATGAGTGGCCACATGGGTGAGTTACAATCTGATATAGAAGTACTCAAACACACAATCCGTGAACTAATCTGACTTTGCAGCAGAAGTGCGCAACGAGATTTACTGATCTAAAAGTATTCGTTGCCGATTTGTCCGCGTTTCTGACATCTGCGGGCCGGAGATGGAGACTCCGGCGCTTCCAGAGACCCGCGGCCATGCCCGCGGCCCTTTGCTGGGATTTCAAAAACAGTGAAACCTAGTTCAAAATAACATGAAAACATGTGCTATCTTAGCCAGTAATGGCAGAAGTGTGGCAAAAGCATGGGCAAAAATGATTTTGTTAAGTACCATATAGTTGCCTGGCCTGCCAGACACTCCTCCTTTCTGTTCAAAAGAAGAAGAATATGTCTTTGAAAAAGCATATCGTTTGGCAGGCCAGGCAACCATATAGCTGACGCAGCTGCGTAATTTCCATAGCAACGCTGAGTATATATATATAGGTGCCAGGCGACAGGACTTCACTCTGACTTTGACGAGCCAGGGATTGTAGCACTCCGAGCTTCGAGCAGGTGCGACTACTTTCATTACGTTTTACATCAACAACATTGATCCAAGCTTAGTAGGACAGTCTCTATCATACAATAAACTCTGTTTTGTTGATTATTTTACACTTTTCCAGATTTTCAAGACTAGCAAGCGTTTCAATCAATCATCGATATGGACAACCATCTGGGCCAAGGTAAAATATGTTAATATATATGAATTTTCATATTTCACAAACATCAGAAGTGTATGGGAAGAGTGGACATGTTCACATCATTTAGATGACTAGCATTAGATCCATGGAGGGGACCGAGCGGACATTGTAGTAATGGAAGTGGAGAATACACCTCAGTTAGTCAGCATTTTGACTCATCTGATGTGTGTTATATTTGTTACACTCGCGATATTCTGGGCAATATTTACAGTCTATGCGATGATCCAAGTCACAGTCAGCCGCGCTTATACAGCTGTGATTTGATGGAAGTAGCATGTGTTGCGATTGCGCTCACAAATAATCCCCTAAATTGTCTCTCTTGTACCCCGCTCCCATCTCTGTGTGGAGTGAGAGACAAGTGCCCAAAAAATAACAATTGTAAACCGCTTTGTGACTCTGGTCTGTGAAAGGCGGTATATAAATAAAGATTACTTACTTACTTACTTACTTACAGTGCAGTCTAGATGTATATGCTTTTTGTTCAAATCTGTACACTCAATAACTACATTGAACTATATTGCTGATTAAAAAGCTTTTGTCTCACTGCCTTTAGCTAATACGTCCAAGACCAAGGAGATGATCATTGACTTTCACAAGAGCCCTTTGAATCAACTGGTCACACTAAATGGACAGGACATCGAAGTGGTTCGGTCCTACAATTACTTCGGAGTCCACCTGGACCACGACTGGACTGGTCAGCGCCTCTTCTTCCTGAGAAGACTGAGGTCCTTTGATGTGAGCGGTCAGATGTTGCACATATTTTACCAGTCTGTTGTAGCTAGTGCTGTGTTCTTTAGGGTCGTATGTTGGGGGCAGTCTAACCTTCGAGAGACAGTTACCGGCTTGACAGGCTGATCAGGAGATGTGTCTCTGTGATGGGGAGAAGTATGGACTCTAATGCAGGGCATCCTGGGTAACTATAAGCAACAGGTTATATCAGTACGCTGCCGAATGGAACGTTTCAATAGATCCTTTGTTCCTTCAGCTGTCAGACTGTACAACAGACCTGGATGAGTCTTCTGCTGCTGGACACCTGAATTTCTCCTACAGGGATCAATAAAGTATCTATCTATCTAATCAATTGTTTGTGATTTGGGGCTATAGAATAGGTAGAATTGGGTCCAGAAGGTATAATGTCTAGAAGTAATGGCTATTTGATGTGTTTTATTATGATGAAACATCTCATACATTTTCTTATCTTATACTATAACCCCTCACCTGCTTGCAGACCTGCATAGCTATGTATAATGTACAGTGCCTTGCGAAAGTATTCGGCCCCCTTGAACCTTTCAACATTTTGCCACATTTCAGGCTTCAAACATAAAGATATAACATTTTATTTTTTGGTCATGAATCAACAACAAGTGGGACACAATCGTGAAGTGGAACAAAATGTATTGGATAATTTTAACTTTTTTTACAAATAAAAAACTGAAAAGTGGGGCGTGCAATATTATTCGGCCCCTTTACTTTCAGTGAAGCAAACTCACTCCAGAAGTTCAGTGAGGATCTTTGAATGATCCAATGTTGTCCTAAATGACTGATGATGATAAATAGAATGCACCTGTGTGTAATCAAGTCTCTGTATAAATGCACCTGCTCTTTGATAGTCTCAGGGTTCTGTTTAAAGCGCAGAGAGAACCATGAAGACAAAGGAACACACCAGGCAGGTCCGAGATACTGTTGTGGAGAAGTTTAAAGCCGGATTTGGATACAAAAAGATTTCCCAAGCTTTAAACATCTCAAGGAGCACTGTGCAAGCAATTATATTGAAATGGAAGGAGTATCAGACCACTGCAAATCTACCAAGACCCGGCCGTCCCTCCAAACTTTCATTTCAAACAAGGGGAAGACTGATCAGAGATGCAGCCAAGCGGCTCATGATCACTCTGGATGAACTGCAGATAACTACAGCTGAGGTGGGAGAGTCTGTCCATAGGACAACAATCAGTCGTGCACTGCACAAATCTGGCCTTTATGGAGGAGTGGCAAGAAGAAAGCCATTTCTCAAAGATATCCATAAAAAGTCTCGTTCCACCTTCGTGGAAGAAGGTGCTCTGGTCAGATGAAACCAAAATCGAACTTTTTGGCCACAATGCAAAACGATATGTTTGGCGTAAAAGCAACACAGCTCATCACCCTGAACACACCATCCCCACTGTCAAACATGGTGGTGGCAGCATCATGGTTTGGGCCTGCTTTTCTTCAGCAGGGACAGGGAAGATGGCTAAAATTGATGGGAAGATGGATGGAGCCAAATACAGGACCATTCTGGAAGAAAACCTGTTGGAGTCTGCAAAAGACCTGAGACTGGGACGGAGATTTATCTTCCAACAGGACAATGATCCAAAACATAAAGCCAAATCTACAATGGAATGGTTCACAAATAGATGTATCCAGGTGTTAGAATGGCCAAGTCAAAGTCCAGACCTGAATCCAATCGAGAATCTGTGGAAAGAGCTGAAGACTGCTGTTCACAAACGCTCTCCATCCAACCTCACTGAGCTCAAGCTGTTTTGCAAGGAAGAATGGGAAAGAATTCCAGTCTCTCAATGTGCAAAACTGATAGAGACATACCCCAAGCGACTTGCAGCTGTAATTGCAGCAAAAGGTGGCGCTACAAAGTATTAGCGCAAGGGGGCCGAATAATATTGCACGCCCCACTTTCCAGTTTTTTATTTGTTAAAAAAGTTTAAATTATCCAATAAATTTAATTCCACTTCACGATTGTGTCCCACTTGTTGTTGATTCTTGACAAAAAATTTAATTTTTATATCTTTATGTTTGAAGCCTGAAATGTGGCAAAATGTTGACAGGTTCAAGGGGGCCGAATACTTTCGCAAGGCACTGTATGCTGTACTGCAAGAAAGAAGGAATGTCTTTATGCTTTTCATCATTGATTAATACAAAAGCTTGGAATTACACAATTACACATGAAATTAAAATAATAGATCTACTTTCTTTTTACAATGCTTTCATGACTGATGTTAAAACAACATTATTTCAACCAAATTTTCAAATCCATCCATCCATTTTCTTCCCCTTAATCCATTTCTGGGTCGGGGGGTGGCAGTCAGAGCTGCACCCAGTACACAGAGCACCAGCCCCTCCCTGATCCTCCTGCAGGTGGTGAGTCCACAGGAGCTGAGATCTTTTAGTTGGGGCTTCAGGCAAAGTGTCTTGCACACAACGACAGCAGTCATCAGTGGGAGTCGTGAAGTAGGTCTTATGGTGGGCTTGAACCCACGACCTTCAGGCCCAACGGCCAATGCTCTACCAACTGAGCTACTATCGCCCCCAATTTTCAAAATCACAAAATTTAAACTGTGATAAATCCCATGTATCTTTTGTTCTCTGTCAGAAAAGTGAAAAACAGAGTAGTGCCCTCACTCAACCAATCAGCTCCCTGCCCCAGTGTAAACTACTAGGCTCTCTTCAAAGAGTGTTGGGACAACACAAAGGCTGACAAGATCTCAAACAAGACAACTGGACTCGTATGATTTAAATGTAACATTTAGCTGAAAATAAGACTTGAGCAATTACTGTTATTGTGACTACTATAGATATGAAATATCACATTGAACCACTGACGTTCTTGCTCATGTTTATTCAGCACAGCTGTGCAGAAGTTTGTCTGAATGGGTTTGTACAATACTTCTTTAGGTTTTTACAGACTCCGGAGGATGCACCCAAATGGTTTGGGCTCAGCGGCCGATCAGTGTGGACTGTGGAGTTTCCTTCTGAGGAAGGACTTGGTCAGACTGAGACTGACTGAGGTTGAAGACAGCCCACAAGTTCAGCTGTCACTCTGACCCCCTGCTTTCAATCATTGAACACAAATACAGTTTTCTCGTACATATTTTAAATTACAGCCATTAGAAAATAAAGGCTTTTAACTCTCTAAACTATTGACCACGAGTTGGATTTTTTTTTTAACTTTCTAAGCTCTTCATAATTTGCCTTTACCTAGAAAGTCAACACTCCTCTTTTTGTTACTGGTTCTACGTCATGGTGCTACGTCCCTTAGCGGACTTCGCTAGTGGGATATCACGTAATCCCCAGGTCACAGACGCCAGAGAGATCAAACAAAAAATGCTCCAATCACTAGCGACCCTCCTCTATAAAAGCCCCTGCTCCATAGCCGCGCTCCCTCTTTTCACTCTGGCGCCGAGTGAGATCTACCACAGTACTTACTTCGTTCTGAGATGTCTTCCATTGTTCGTCCGAGTTCCCCTTCGCCCTCCGGCGTCGGACGTCGTCGCTGCTCTACGTGTCGGGTCAGGCTCCAGCGCACGGACCAGCATGCCAGCTGCTTCATGTGCCTGGGTTCGGGCCATGCGGCGTTGAGCGCTCGCTGCGCCTCGTGTCTCGCTCTCCCCAGGGAGGAGAGTGAACGCAGGTGTTACCGGCACCAGGCCTAGGGGAAGCTGGGCAGTATCAAGTGCGCACACAGATGACTTCTCTGTGACGCTTATTTAACTGGAGCTGTGGATAGACAGACAGGACACGTGTTTATCAGGCCACAGCTTCTTTACTACTGAGTCATTCAAATCAACAGTAATACACAAAAAAATACACAATTGGACCACAAAAATAAAATATAAATTGACAAAAATACAAAAATAATAAATGCTAAAATAACCCAAAAAGTGCAACTGAAAATACATATAATTACATAAAATAATAAAACATACATTTATACATTCACCCCATACCACACAACAGCTACTTCAGTACAGAAAATGCATAAAAATAGACATTTCACTTATAATTCCTGTCTGTCTCTCTTAGTCTCTCTCTCCCTGCCTCACACACACACACACACACACAAGCAGGTCGGCCATTTTAACAGAATGCGCCTCCAACGGCGGGAAAAAGTCTGGTTTAACGGCTAGAAAAAAACTACTAGCACTTGAATCTTAAAACTGTCTGCACTCGCAACACAAACTAGCTAATAACACTTATACATACACATACACCACACGTTAGCATATTAACTGCTTGGATAGGACTTGAAACACATCACTACTACTACTTTACTTGACTCAAACATGACATACAAACGTTAGAAACAGGACTACAGAACACAGTATAAAAATGTGTTCCTAACGTTTGCTAGACCCTCAAAACTACTTAACTGTACAATTTGTGCACATTAAAAAATACATAGCATATGGTGACCAAGTTTAAAGTTAATAAAAACAACTTTTGAACCATACCTGTGGATAGACAGAGAGGACACGTGTTTATCAGGCCACAGCTTCTTTACTACTGAGAGCTGCGCCTCCGCTGTCCCTCTAGTCACCACAGTAGCGCTACAGCACCACCTACTGGTTGGAGTGGGTATGTTACGCAAAATAAAACACTTTTACAAAAAAAATAGAGGGGGTGTCTGTTTCCACAAAAAAACATTTTATGAGGCATTTTCTAACCTACTACACTGGCGCGCGTTCTTCGCCGCTGCAGCGCCCCGTCTGGACTCCTCTCAGGACGAGGAGTCTGAGATTGACTGGGCCCCACTCGACCTTCCGCCCGTGCCCGCGGAATGGGGTGACTG